GTTCAGGAAAACCACAAGACACAATGCTGTCAATATCTCCTGTCATATTCCATGTGAGCTACCTATATTGAAAGGGATGTAGGGGGAGAAGGTTGAGGAGAAAGAAAAGATAGGGTGAGTAGGAAAACTGTTTCTGCCTGTAGGTGTTCCCATACTCAGCTGCCTGATCTTCATGGTATTTATTTGCCATAGCTTTAGATTATTGTAGTGTAGGACTAAGTCCTTTGTGTTTGCAGTGTGGCCACAAAGTCGTCTTGGCATGAAATTGCTTCCAAGTATCAGAATACCCAAGCATGGGTCAAATTCTGGCCACTGCCCTCAGAGGAACCTGGGTGTGAGTCCTGAGATTTCTCCCATGCGTCTCTGATTCAGCAGAATTAGGGAGGATCACGGAGGATAACATCTGACACCCAAATGGGATAGGGATTTGTGGTGCTGCATCCAGTTGCCTGTGCTGGGTTGTGGAAGAGAAGTGAGTGAGACTCCTAGGAGGAGCTCTGCCTCAGTCCTTCTGGCTCAGGGTTCAAAGTGACTCTCAGGATTTTTCTGCAGCTTCTTTGCCCTGTTGGGCAGCATCAGTCCTGTGTGATATGGGGAATGGGGGGGGGACTATTATGGGAAAATATGTTCTTCCTTGAAAGCTACGCAATTGACTTGGCTTTTCCCCCATTGCCTCGGGATGCCTGTTCATACTGGGTTTTGCCCCATCCCCACCTGCCTAGAGGTAGAATGTCCTCTGCTTCAAAACCCATCAGAGCAAAGTCTAGGGTGAGCTCCTGCCTTTCGATAGGATTGCTGGATGTGCACACCCCTTTTACCTCACAATAAGGCATGGTGATATATCAGTCATTCAGCCCCCCCACTGCCTTTTCCTGGTACTCTGAGGTTCTCTCTTGTGCATGCTGCTCCCCTAGATGACACGTTTGCATTCTGGCGAGGTCTGAAGGATGCAGGGCTGCTGGAAGAAGTGATTGAGGAGTTTCACCAGGAGCTTGTGGAGACCATGAAGGGCTTACAGCAGCGGGTCCAGGATCCTCCCTTACAGCTCAGTGGTAAGAGCCTAATTGCAGGAGCTAATAAGCAACATCTTTGTGTCTTGTTTATTATTATTATTATTATTAAATGGCAAAAAACCTTTGTGAACGCAGAGTTAAGGTTGCTGGGTGATAGCTCATGCCCTCTCAGAACGTCGAGTTCAGCAAAACTCGGTCTTCTGAAAACCAGGAAATACAGTTAAGGTAAATGCCCACACAGCCTTAACTCTTCCCTCCTTGAGCACTGCCCCACAGCACCCATAACACACTCCCACTCTGCCTTGTTACTGTAGTGGACAAGCACTACCTGCGCTGAAATATTGAGACTCTTCTCCCTACAGAGTATCCCATTTGTCAGATTTGACAGCCACTTCAGACCCTTTTATAATCCTTCACATGCAGTATGCCACCTAAACCTCCTCCCCGCAGCACTTCCAGTGCACCATCCCATTAAGCCACTAGTTGGTAATGTAGAAGCCATTAACATGTAAGAAGCTGCTCCTTGCCATCTCCTGCGTTGTGCTGCTGTGTACACATATCACGGGCAGCAGTTTACTAGAGGGCCACATGCTCCCTTGGTTATATACTGAGCTGTGTATACCTTGGCTGTACACTGAGCTGGGCCCACTCCCACTACACACCTCCAGTTGAGATTTCTGACCCTGCTTCAGCCAGGCTTCCCTAGCCATGTCCATCCAGTTCGCCCCTCCTTCAAACCGGGCCCCTCCACCACACCCTGCTTCCCCATGCATGTTATGTATTTTAGCTATTCATCTTATGGAGTTCAGATGTTTACATGGTTACCTTCAGTCCCCCCAGCCCAGATCCCAGCTCACATGGAGGGGAAGGGAAAGACACTCAAAGTCCCCTAGATCCCAGAACACACAGGGGCAGGGAAAGGGGCTCAGACCTCTGCAGAGGTGTAAGGCTCCTGCAGATCCCAGCACTCACTGAATGGGAGAATTGAGGACTAATCCCCATCTTCTCTGCTACTGTTCACATTCTCCAACCCACTTCCTTCTCCCTTCCCCAGTACCTCCTCCCACCCCTTATCTGAGCCCCTCAATCGCTCTTCCCTCCCCTGCCACCCATTCCCATTTATCCCCTCCCCATAATAACCCCATCCCTGGCTGCACACCAAACCCCTCTTCTCCTGTTCCCACCTACTCTTGCACCCCTAATCAGCTTCCTCTCCCACTGTGCATTCACATGTGTAATTTCTTTTCTTTTCGGAAAATAGTTGCAGTACCTTCTGAATATTCTGCTGTACTCAGATTACATTTCCCCAAAATAAAAAAACCCTTTGATAGAGGCAGATTGGGCAACATGTCTGCTTTTTTCACTTCAGATTTCTTCCCTGGGTTGGACTTGAACTCACAATGCCTGGGATGGAGATCAGATTCAGTGAAGATTACATTCCCTCAGTAGTTTTCCAGATAATTAGACTCTCACGCTGCACATGCTCCGTGTAATACCTTAGGAGCAAGAATAAGCACATGAGGCTTGTGATGAGAAGCAAAAGCTTTTTGAAATAGCAATGTAATTTGATTTCCCACAAAGGGCTGGTGGGTGCCATGCACTCTGTTGGGGTAACGCTCTAGCCTTAGGGACCCTCATGCAATGATCTGAGCCCTTGTTGAGCTTTGTCTGTGAGCCAAAAAAGGTTGCCAGAATCTCTCAACTTTTGTTTTGGGAGATGTATCTTGAAACCTCCTTGGTCAGACGACCCCAAATTTGGATCACTAACAGAACCCTTTGCCCCATGAGGCAGACCATATTTCAAGGCAATCCAAGTAGCCATGTAGATTTTCAAGCACTTAAAACTTTAAACAAAAATCTAGTCTTAACTATAGCAGAATGAATTATGCTCATTTTGTTGGCATCCCTTTAATTCTCACATGCAGGGTGGGGTTTGGAAATAACTGTCCGCTATGGACGGTGTGTCAGTGGTGCAGAATAGTTTTGTGGCCAGTTTCCTTAGAATCTGCAATGCAGTCTGTGGTAAACATTTGTTTCCAGTAGTTGGCAAACAGATTCCCACTGGCTTTGCCATCTGTGCACATGCTCTGCTAATTTGAGCCGGTTTCTACAGTTCATTGCGCTGCATCATTAGAAGGTGACGCACCATGTGATGTAGTCTGAGATTGAAGGAAACTGACTGTCATTCCCACTCACACCTGTCACTGAATATAGAAAAAATAAATTTAAATAAAAATAATTTAATATGACTGCTTCGTATTTTGGAATGTCTGGGACTTGGGACCAACACTACTGTCAGCTATCGTGTCCTCCTTAATCTTTGAGCTTTTCTCCTTGTGTTCTGCCTGCCATGGCCTTTCACAGCACACCTTGTCCTGCCACTTCACTGAGACTGAGGGGCAGTGTCACTTTGAGAAACTCTTTGCCCTTCAGTTATGGGATTCTCTTTCCTTTGGGAATGTCTGTGTGAAATTACTCAGACAACAGTCATCTTAACCACAAGATTTAATACAAGCACTGAGAAAACAGAATGAAAATAAAAGTAATTGTTTGCTAAACTCATCTAGGTTTATGCTTCCCATAAACTGAGCTAGAGAAGGCATTTTCAGCATTGGTAAAGGGGGGAGAAAAAGGCTTCTAGCTTGTATCCTGTGAAAGCAATTCTCTCCTCTGACCACGCTTTGGTCAGCCTGTCAGCAGTGCTTGCTGTCCAGATAGCAACTAGTTTGTGTCCTGAGACCTCTCTTATCAATCTCTGTTTGGGAAGAAAGGACTATTGTCTCTTAATCACCCCTTGATGTTTCTCCCCACCCTTCCTGTCTCAGTATTTTAAGCATAAATACTAATGAATTCTTAAGCTCTGACCTCTTGCATTATCCTAAAACAGATTTGGCCACGTCACTTTAGCGCAGCGGTTCTCAAACTTCATTGGAACGCAACCCTCTTCTGACAACAAAAATTACTACACGACCCCAGGAGGGGGACTGAAGACTGAACCTGCCTGAGCCCCACCGCCCTGGGTGGGAGGTCCAAAGCCCAAGGGCGTCAGCCCCAGGTCGGGGACCTGTAACCTGAGCCCCGCCATCCAGCAGGTGGTTGGGCTCGGGCTTCGGCCCTGGCCCTAGGCCCCAGCAAGTCTGACGTCAGCCTTGGTGACCCCATGAAAATGGGATTGCGACCCACTTTGGGGTCCCGACCCACAGTTTGAGAACTGCTGCTTTGGGATATCTGTGTTTTACCAAGAAACAGGTAAATTCTTTCTGTAGGGAATGATTCTTTCCTCAACGATCAGTATCTATTTTTCTGTTTTAAGATGCTGTCTTACTCAACAACATAGTCCAGAATTTCGGCATGCTGGACCTGGTAAAGAAAGTTCTAGCTAGCCACAAGTGCCAGATGGATCGCTCAAGAGAACAATACACACGGGATTTAGCAGGTACGCCCAACTGGAATTTCAGTGTCTCTTCTGTTAGCATCGCTGATACTGTCCTGGAGTTTTTCTGTGTAGGAAAGTAGATTTTTTTTTTTTGCTAAGCCAATGCATGCTAGATCAGTTTAGCTTGGAATGATGCTAAAGAATTCGCTACATTGCCTTGGTTATTGTACTTCAGTTGTTACTATGCTGTTAAAACTAGGAAGATGGCCACTGGGAAGCTTATGCTAGGTGGAGGTTGGACAGTACCCGTACTAACATTCGTTACGGTCTCTTGTGTTTAGCATTGGAGCAGCAATGTGACGAGCACCGCAAGCGAGCAAAGGAGCTGAAGCACAAATCGCAGCATCTCAACAACGTGCTGATGACTCTGACTCCAGTCTCCATCCCAGCACCTTTAAAACGCCCCAGACTTACCAGGGCCACCTCTGGGCCAGCTGCTATCACCTCTCAAGTCCTGACCCAATCAGCACAAATTGCCTTGGCCCCAGGAGTGCCCGTCTCGCAGCTTGCCAACCTCCCTCTCAGCAAAGTGGTGTCTGCCCTTCCAGCCTCAGTGCTTGGGAAAAGTACATCTCAGGCTCCCTCAGCCAGCTCCCCAGCCTCTCCGTTATTGGGAGGATACACTGTACTGGCTTCCTCAGGCTCTAGTTTCCCCAACACCGTTGAGATCCATCCCGATGCTTCCAACCTGACAGTCCTCAGCACGGCAGCCATACAAGATGGCAGCACTGTGGTGAAAGTGGTGAGCCCTTTTCAGCTGCTCACCCTCCCGGGACTAGGCACCACCATACAGAACGTAACACAAATGGCTCCCAGCGGGAGCACGATTGTGACGGTGCCGTCGAGCGCCGTTGAGGATGCCACGGCGTCGGACGAACACACCACCACCATCGAGGTGACAACAGTGGCAGAAGAGCCAGAGCAGAAATGAAAAGGGGACTTGCCTGGAGGGACATTTTTTTGTGACGTACTCTGGCTTGAGCTGCCTTTTCTCTGCCTGCGCTGAGGGAAGAGGGAACAGTATAAAGAGGGCACAGGGAATTGAGACTCTGAGGTAGATTGGCTAAAAGGAGTAATAATGAGGTTTGAGCCAAAGAAAGGGAAAAAGAGAGACCCCCCAAAAAAGGGGGGAAAATGAATCGCACTGACCCATTAACCAGTTTACATATAAAACTTTCCTCCCGTGTTTTCCTGGAACACATGTTATCTTCATGTCTAGTTCACTAGCTCTGAATCGTCTCTAGACATCTCAGCTGGAACAGAGCGTCAAGAGAAGCAGATGTGGGCAGGGCCTGAGAACAGGGAATGAGCAGAAAGTAGCGAAAGGTTAAGGAAACAATAGATGATGAGGCATTTTACCAGAACCTAAGGGGTAAGTGGCCAAGGGGCACTCCTGAGTTCTGGCATGATTCAATACTGCATGTAGGCCAACAATACTAGGGAATCTGCTGCTTCCCCCTCACAGCAGAGGGCAGTTTGGGAAGCTGGTGTTTTGGAGGGTGGGCCGGTACAGAGTGCATAACTGGGCATGAAGAATGTGCATGACAGTTGAGGTAAAGCAGCCTTGGACCAGGGAAGGTCCTCTGATGTGTGGCAGTCACAGGGCTGATCCAAGTGACCCTTGTTGCTGGTTTCTGCACATAATGTTGGGTTTGGGTAGTTAAATGCAGTATCTCAATATTACCAAATGTGCAGTCTCCTCATTGTGAGCGAGATGCTGGTCTCCCAAGTCTGATCATTTAGAGGGGAAGGGGGGACAGTTATTAAAGCTTTTGATTCCATCCAGGGACAGGTGTGGAAAATCTGTATCTTCTGAGGATTTAGGGTCTCCTTCTGTTTTCTCAAAAATCTGTTCTTTTGGGTTTTTTAAAAAAGGAAACTCTTGTGGCCCTTCTGGTTGTGAAGATGATATCCAGGGGCACAGTTGTACTGTTGAGTATGCAGAGAAAACAATTAAATAATAGCACTAAGAGACATCTGAACTTCTTCCATCTTAGCAGGTGTTAACTGTGGAATCTAATTGTCTCCATGTCTCTGCTAACCTCTTATCAGAAGCATCTAGCCAGTGAGCCTTATCTAGTGTGGCTGGGTGTTCTTGTCCCCTCCCAATGCGTCCAAAAGGATATTTTGTGGGCTGCAAGGTTTGAATATGCAAATAGAATATTCAGATATCAAATACTCTTTTGATTATTCAGCTCGCTGAGAGGTTCGCTACTGTCCTTATTTTTGTAAAAGTAGTGTGTGTGTGTGAAAGTGACATTTCAGCTAGAGACAGTGTTAAAGGGGCTGGATTCCTGCAGTGTGGGTTTTCTATCAACTTGATCTGGCAGCAGCAGCAACAACAGGTCACTTTAATAAGCTAATAAATATTTTTGAAAGAGTGCTGCTGGCTTATTGCATCTCCTTGTCTGTGTCTGATTGTTACAGCTAAAGCACAAAACTGGCTCCGAGAATGAACAGAATCCTCTTCCTCTTCTCCCCATGCCCTCCACACACGCCTGCAAAGAAATACTGCCAATCCTTCCAAAATTTTGGCAATACACTGTTTCAGGTTATATCTTAGGAAGTTATTTCCCTGGTGCTGTGATGGTAGGAGAAAGCCAAGGGTGCTTTCCCTCACATGAGCATAGACTGGTGTGTTAGCAAAGTGAAGGGAATGTCATTGGAAACCTAGACTGGGGGCTTGGTAGGAAAGAAACGTCCTTTGTTTGCTGCCTTAACCTTTGGAAATATTTAATAGTGGCAAAGCTTTAGATTTGGGATTAGCATCCCCTTACGCTTTCTTTACTACTGTTTTTTCTAGGCCAGCCTGGAATTCCATATGTTGGTGCTAATAAAACTCTAAGAATGGGTGAAGGCATGTTATTGTTAATGTCTTTACCTAGCATTTTTAAAGGTGTTAGGGCTTTTTAATAAACGAAGAAATAGAATTTGAATTATAGGAGGAGAGTCTTCTTTCTCCTCTTCTTTCGAGTGGTGGAGAGGGCAGGAGTCTGCCAGCAAACAGAACAGGGCTTTCCAGAATTCTAGCCTTGACATCACCTCATTTTGTGAATGAAAAGAAGCTTAGCCCAAGACTTGTTATTAATTACATAAAGGGATTTATTTGTGGTTGATGCTCTTAACTCCAGGAGGCAGGAAACATTTATGACAAAACCATGCAAACCTAACCGACTATTTTGGATGGGAAGCAACAACCCTCAAAAGACCTTTCACTTTTGTTGTCTCTCTTCCCCAGCTTGGCTAGGAAATGCTGCTGAGCGTGGTCTCAGTAATGGGTGGAATTAGGATGCTCCTATGAGAAAGCAGTTGTGCCCTTGTAGACAAGAGGGGTGCTTGGTGGAAATGGGGAAGAAATTAGGGTTGGTGGTGGGTGGGGTAGGAAGTGGGAGCGTGCCGCTTGTTATGAAGTTGCAAGATGAAAGACTTGAGCCCTATGCTGCCTTCCCTCTAGTTACTGAAAGGGTCCTACTCTGTCTGGGGGGTGGAGGCGGCACAGTAGGGACAAGCAACAGAAGTACCTAGCAGGTGACTGTGGTTCAGGAATCAGCCACAGGGATATGGTTCAGGAATCACTAGCTCTTGTTTTACTGAGTTCAGGCCCCATTGAAGCAACAGCTTGAAGTTCATAGATCTACTTGGCAGAAGATGTAAAGAAATACTAGCAACCCCATCCTCCCATGCCGTGAAAGAGACAGCACAGCTATTAACTATGTTGGGGACCTTTCATGTATCTTGTGCTCTTTAGCAAAAGGTGTCTTGTCAGCTGAAATAATCATAGGAAGCACATATGTCTCTTGTGTGCCTCTCACATGTGGTAGTTAGCCTGCCGCTTATGAACCTGGAGTTCTGATCAATACTGCCTGTATCTCCAACAGCAAGCAGCATGGAGACAACAGGAACACTTTCCACTGCCCATTATGTGGAGGGAAGGGATGGCCTTCCAATGTGTGGGGAGCTAGTCCCCTATCCCCATTGGAGACTGGGGAATAAAGGCAGTTGCATGGTTGGATTCCCCCTGCTCCTAAGCATTTGGGTACAAGTAGAGGAAGAAAACACACATACTTTCACCAGGAAGGGAAGGGAGAGATTATGTTAAATAGCATCACCAAGCCACTAAACAATTCCAGTGTGACATCCTGACATTATTACGTTGTGACCTTTAAGCTGTGGGTGCCCAGTCAGTAAAAGAGTTGCTTGACATGATGGATATTAGGGCTTAAATTGCTGACTTTTAAATATCTCAGGGTGTATTCTTGTGTGCTACTGTATTAGGCTGTTAAATTGTGATGTCACACACAGATGCTGAATCACTATGCAAATGTTGCAGCATGAAGCTAGGATGTTGTGCAGGAATTATTTTGTGTGTCTGCAACCTCTGTGGTTCAACAGTATGCATCTAGAGCATAAAGAAATACAGGCTGTCGGGCATTAAAACCAATTAAACCAAATTTGCTTCAGTATCTGATCCCCGCTCTCGCCTTGTTGGAAGCTCTGAACTGTTTAGTGGCCAGACACTGGCAACTCCAGGAAATCCAATCCGGATTCTTCATTTGTTTTGCTGTGTTGAGGATTTTGTAATGTTTTCCCAAGGATATGAGATACCCAAGCCTGTGAACTGTTGTGTGAGAGGAATTTTTGTTAATGATTGTCAGGAGACTGCTGTTTTCCTCATCTATATTTTGCCAATACAGTTGTAAACGCTGTAAAGCATATATGGAGCTATAAAGCAATATGGAGATTAAAATTTATTGAAGCACTTCCGTTTGAGGCCAGTAGGTGTGGCTAGAGAGAAGCATATTGTGACGCTTGCCAGAGCACAGCAGCCAAAAGACAAACAGGAATAAAAGAGAGACAGGTTGGGAGAGGTCTGTTCTCCCCCAGAATGCATATGTATGACTGCCATTAACATTCATTTATTCTGTATGTGTCTATCTGGGTGACAATAGGCAGGATCTTGTCTGGATTTACACACCAAAGTGTGATTTAGGAGCTACTGGCTAAAATCCAATGGTCTTTAAACAGTATGTGCCTGGTAGGTAAAAGGGTTGTCTTGGCTTGATGGATGCTAGGCCCTTAAGTCACCAGCTTTCTAATATTTCGTGGCATGCTCTTTTTTTTCCAGTGTATAGGGACAAATACACCTAAGTCCTGGTGTCTTGAGGGAATCGGTGCTCTTCCCTTTTCTTCACTGCAGTAGATTCGGCTTATTAACAAACCTCAGTTTCCAGCAAAAAAAAAAAAAAAAATAGCTATTCTCTGGTAGTTGCTAATGAGCAGAAAGCAGGTTTGTGAGGCTGCACTGAGGGAAGGAAGCACTGGGACCCGCTGAGTGCTGGCTCCAGGTAGGTTAGCGAGGCAACAGCCCGGGAAAGCAGGTCTCAGTGCCTCCTTCTCTAGTAGCAGCCCTGCAAACCTGCCTATCATGGAGCCTTTCTTCCAAAACCATGTTGCTTATTAGCAACCAGTCTCCAAGTCCCATTTAAGATTAAAGTCAATGAGATGGGATTGGTTCCTAGCAAAATGGTGCTATTAACCAGACGTGTGTGCATCCCCTTGTTGGGGTTGTTATTTTCCACCCGCTGGACTGGGGTGTGTATCTGGTACCAGCACAGAGCAAAGTCAGGCTGTTCACACTCCCCCTTCACCCACAGGCCCGTTGCTATTCTATAACTGACGCTGAGGAGGAAGAAGGGCTGGTTCAAACCACCCAGCCCTGTGCAAGTGACTCAGAGCAGGCGTGCTGACAATTGTGTGGGGCCAGCACAGTCTGTTTTCATTGTTCCTCCCACCCACGCTCCTGAAACTCCCTCCATTCTCACAGGGCCCAGTCCCGCTCACCCTGAGAGTCGTTCCATTCACATCAGTGGATGTGTACACTGCAGTTAGACATCTGCAGCTGGCCCATGCCAGCTGACTCAGGCTCAAAGGGGTTTAATTGCAGTGTAGATGTTCTAGCTCTGGCTGCAGCCCTAGCTCTGGGACCCTCCCACCTTGCAGGGTCGTAGAGCCCAGGCTCCAGCCTGAGCCCGAATGTCTACACCACAGTTAAATAGCCTCTTAGGCCAAGCAGCCGGCAGTGTAGTAATGGCAGTGTAGACATTCCCTTATTGACTTCAGTGAGCATTGGCCAGGCCCATAGGTCCTAGGCTGTGTCCTGTGATTCCACTGCAAGTAGGACAGGCTCAGCGGACCTGGAGGTGTCAAGGGTGAGTACAGAGAGGTATATGAGGGTGTTCTAATGTGTCTTGCATCAAATGGACGTGACAGGAAGACTTTCTGGCTGATGACAGCCATTCCAAGAGTATAACAGAACATGCCTTGTAAAAGCAATGATGCACCCTAAGTACAGTGGTAGTAACGAGGGTTGATTCACCCACACTAGCAGCTAGGGTGCAAATTGCTTCTCCGCCCCAGGAGTGAACACAGTGACCCAGGGAGATTTGCTGCCAGGGAAGGGCAAGCAGCCTGAAGGGTGAGATGCTGCCGGTGAAGGCCTCACTGGGTCTCCCGTGAATTGTTGTATTTCCCACCTGTGACCAGTTCTAGGTGGTACTAGCCTACTTCAGGCTTCTGGAAAGTGAAGGTTTCTGGTGCATTATCCTTCTGCACTCCGCTTCAAGCCAAACTTTCTGCTGCTTGCAACTCCCTGTTATCTGGATTATGCTGCCAGAATCCAGCATAATCCAGGGGTGAATCTAGTCCAGTGACTGTTCTTGAGTGGGAGAAGGCACCTGACTTCAAGCTCATGCATTGCAGAGTACTCCAGGCAGGCAGGATTTGGTATAACTGCACCCTGGGTTGAATGATACTGCTTAGTAGGTCTGTCTGTCTTGCACAGACAAGTCTTTATACACACATGCTCTGCAGTCTTCCCTACATAACTTTGCCAGTGCTCCTCAGCTCTGACCAGCCTCTCTCCCATTCTGTTACATTTGCAGCATACAAACAAAGAAATAGATAAAAATATAGAATACTCTTTCTTGAAGGTTGCAATGTATCACTACTTTATTTCTTAAAATCCAAAATCTTAACACACAAGAACCAAAAACAGAGAGAGACAAAGCAGACTGCTCCCTACAGCAAGGCATGACTCACCCACTTTGCTCTAGGTAGGCTGGCTTTTTGCAGACTGACTCTCTCTGATAGATCCAGATTGCAAGCTTCCCTACAGAGCCCCCTACCCTGCAAGCGGGACCAGGAAAACTCTTGAAATTTCAAGTGATAGCTTACAATTTTAACAGTTTTTAATTCACCACATACCCAAATCCTGGATCGCCTAAACAGTGACTGTTAATTGTGCCATGTTGCACAGAATCTTGCTATTCCAGATATACTTTCTCACCAAAATTAGTGCCCTTTCTGTGTCTGAGTTTCATTAAT